CAGGGTACATTGCCAGCCTGGAACATATCCCTATCCCTATGCTGGGCATCTCCTCATCACGATGCCAATCTTAGTGATTCCCTTATTTTTTGAGGGCGAATCCCTAAGATTGTCATCGCCTGTTGGCGTGTCATTCTTAGGGATAGGGATACGTTCGAGGCTGGTAAGCACAGGACGGGGGGCGGTGTCACGCTGGCGGTGGTGGCGGTGGTTGGTGTATAAAGTGGTCGGGGCGGAGCACTGGACGGGGGGCGCTGTCACGCTGGTGGTGGTGGTTGGCGCGGGTGGGTGGGTGGAGGGGCGGGAAGGGCGGGGCGGTGGGAGCGGTGCGGCGCCGAAAAAAGTTGTCAGAACTCTAGACGCCCTGTGCAATATATAAATTATTTGTTAAACTGATCCCCCTGGAATATATTCATGGGGGCGAACGATACGGTTGATATATGCACACGTGTATGTTTGTAGGCATATTTGCGTATACGCGCGCACGCACGCGCATGCATTGGTATATGCGCGTGATCTGTATGCGTGCAGATGTGCAGGCTACTTCGGTCGACGGTAGTTTCCGTCCTACTGGGGCACTGTACGTAAGTACGCGCGGGAGTGCGCGCGCGTGCGCGCGGTGGCGTCCAGTTCTCGCGCGCGGTGTGAGGCTGACAGGCCTTATGTTGGCTCCCATAATCCAAATTTTCCCATCGGTTTTTCTCACGCGGTTTCGGGGGTGACACGTGCCCCCCGTTGTTTTTGTGAGGCTGAACGGCTTCATGTTGGCTCCCAGACTCCCAGATTTTGTTTTTTTATCTCACGGACTCGGGGGTGACGCATGTCGCCAGTTTTTGTTGGAAGTTGAATGGCCTTCTGTTTGCTCCCAGATTCGTAAATTTACAAATTGATTTTTCTCAGGCGGTTTCGGGGGAGGCGCGTGTCACAGGTTGTCTTTGTGTGGCTGGATGGCCTGATTTTGGTTGCCAGACTCACCTGTTTATATTTGTTTTTTCTCACGTGGTTTCGGGGGCGACACGTGTCACCCAACTTTTTTGAGGTGGAATGGCCTCATGTTGGCCCCCAGAATTTCAAATTTGCAGTTGTTTTTTCTCACACGGCTGGGGCGGCACGTGCCACGTTGTTTTTGGCGAAGCTGAATGGCTTTATCTTGGCTCCCAGAATCCAGAATATATAGTTGTTATTTTTCTCACTTCGGGGGTGACACGTGTCACCCGTTGTTGTTGTGCTTGTTTTGAGGTTGAGTTGCCTTATGTTGGCTCCCACACTCCTAAATTTACATTTAAATGTTCTCACATGGTTTCAGAGGTTACACGTGTCAGCCGTCGTTGTTGCGAGGCTGAGTGGCCTTATGTTGGCTTGCAGGATCCCAAATTTACAATCAGTTTTCTCACACAGTTTCGGGTGGTGACGCGTGTCACCCGTTGTTTTTGTGAGGTTGAATGGCCTTGTGTTGGCTCCTAGGTTCCCAAATTTATTATTGTTTTTTCCACATGGTTTCAGAGATGACACGTGTCACCCACTGTTTCGTGAGGTTGAATGGCCTTATGTTGGCATCCAGAATCCCAAACTTATAGTTGTTTTTTCTCACGCGGTTTCGGGGGTGGCGCGTGACCTTCGGTGTTTTTGCTCGGCTCAATGGTTTTATGTTGGCCCGTGGAATTCCAAATTCGCACATGTTTTCTTCCCACACGGTTTCGGAGGAAACACGTGTCACCCGCTGTGGTTTGTGACGCTGAATGGCTTTGTGTTGGCTCCCAGCATCCAAATTTACCAGTTGTTGTTATCACACGGTTTCGGGGGTAATACGTGCCACCCATTGTTTTTTGTTAGGCTGAATGGCCTTGTGTTGGCTCCCAGTCTCCAGAATGTACACTTGTTTTTCATCTCACGGTTCCAGGGTGACAAGTGTCGCCCGGTTGTTTTTGTGAGACTGGATGTCCTTATGTTGGCACCCAGATTACACATTTTACAATGGGTTTTCCTCAGACGGTTTCGGGGGTGAGACGTGTTCTCCTTGTTGTTGTCAGGCTGAACGTCTTTATGTTGGCTCCCAGAACTTCGAATTTACAACTGTTTTTTTCCGGCGTCTTCGGGCGTCACACGTGTCGCCCGTTGTTTTTGCGCGGCTGAATGGCCTGATGGTGGCTCCCAGGATCCCAAGTTTACTTTTTTTCTGTTCTCTCGCACAGTGTCGGGGTGTCACGTGTCACCTGTTGTTTTTGTGAGGCTGAATGGCCTTATGTTGGCTCCCAGAACCCCGAATCTATAATTTGTGTTTCTCACGCGGTTTCGTGGGTGACACGCGTTGCCCATTGTTTTTGTGAGGCTGAATGGCCTAATGTTGGCTCCCAGCATCCCAAATTTACATATGTTTTCTTCCCACACGTTTTCGGGGCTGACGCGTGCCACCCGCTGTTTTTTTTGTGAGGCTGAATGGCATCATGTTGCCTCCCAGAGTGCCGAATTTGATGTTTTTTTTCCCACGCGGTTTCGGGGTTGGCGCGTGTCGCCGGGGTATTTTACGCGAATGAATGGTCTCATGCTGGCTACCAAAATAGTTTGCTCTCCTCCTCGCATACGGCTTCGGGGGTGACACGTGTCACCCGTTGCTTTTTGTGAAGCTGAATGTCCTTATGTTGGCCCCCAGAATCTCGCATTTGGTTCTTCTCACGTGGTTGCGGGGTTGCGGGCGTGGCGCGTGTTTCTTTTGTGCCTAGTGGAATTGAATGGCCTCATGCTGGCCCACAGGATCCCAAATTTACAATCGGTTTTCTCACACGGTTTCGGGGGTGACACGTGTCACCCGTTGCTTCTGTGAGGCTGAATGGCCTCATGGTGGCTCCCAGAATCCCAGCCATTGGTTTTTCTCTCACGGTTTCGTGGGTGACACGTGTCACCCGTTGTTTTTTTATGAATATACATGGCCTTATGCTGGCGCCCAAAATCCGATACGTTCAATTGTTCTTTCTCACGCGGTTTCTGGGGTGGCACGTGCCACCCGTTGTTAACGTTAGGTTGAATGGCACTATGTCGACTCTCAGAGTCCCAAGTTTACAATTATCTTTTCTCTCACAGTGTGGCTGAATGGCCTTATTTCGGCTTCCAGAATCATGAAGGCACATCCTGTTTTTTCTCACAGGGTTTCGTGGGTGGCACGTGTCGTTCGTTGTTTTTGCGCGGCTGAGTGGCCTTATGCTGGCTCCTGGAATCCCGAATGTGTAATTGTTTTTTTCTCATACGGTTTCGGGGATGACACGTGTCACACGTTGTTCGCGCTCCTATAGCCACGCCTCGACTTCATGGGCTCGGGTGCTCGCAGTTTCTGGCGGCCTCCTCCCCTCCGCGAATTCTCCTTCACCCTATGGATCTCATACGTGCGAGACACGACGAAGGCGCAGATGCCGACGCGCGCGCACCAGGTGGCAGTAGTCAGCTGGCAGCTCCAGCGCAAGGCATTTCCTTCTGTGCGCGTCGCTGATGCACATGACCTCTGGATGTCATTACGTGTGCGATGGTACGTTCACGCGGGCGCACGTGCCTGCACACTTTTGTTCCCGAGTTAGGAATTGCGCAGCTCCTTCTGAGCAATGACCAGGGGCGACAGCTACGTCTCCTTCAGAGTCCTCTGCGGTTGCAATCGGGTTTCTCGGGGTTCTTCGGTGGTTGCTCGGGAGTTTCTCGGGGTATCGTTGTGGCTGCCTGGAGTGGTCTTGTGTGCTCCTGTGTCGTTCCTCATGGGTTCGCTGGGGTTCCCTTGGAATTCCACGGACTTTCCATTGTTCCCACGGATTTACCGCAAATTGCCAAACGTTGACTTGCCTTACCTTGCTTTTCATTAATTCGCATTGCCTCGCATTGCCTTTGCCTCGCGTTGCCTCGCATTGCCTCCCACTGTCTTGCATTGCTTTGCATTGCCTGGCGTTGTGTTGTATTGCTTCGCATTGTTTCGGGTTGCTTCGCATTCTGCTTTCCTGCGCATCGCTGCGCATTTCCTTTGCTCTACTTTGCTTTGTATCGTCGTGCATTACTTTGCATCGTTTTCCGGTAACTGGTTTGCACTGCTATGTGTTGAACTGTGTTGCTTTGCATTGTGTTGCTTCTCTCTGGGCTTCGCGTATCCGAGCAGCTCATCCCAAAGCGGTCGCCAGAGAAGTTGCCCTGATCAGGAATGTGGAGTAGCATGAAGTAAACAAATACACGAGGGTAGGCACTACCTTCGGAAAAAGAAGAAGGGGCTCTCCAGGAGTTTGTCTGGAGCTCTTCGGGGATTTTGGAAGAGGTTGGAGGGGGGCCTGGACGGGGGGTGAAGGGGCGGGGGTGGAGGGGGTTGGGGGTCTTCTGGATGCCTGTTGGAGGCCTTGGGGGCCCTCTTGGGGCCATCTTGAAGTCCATCGAGCATAAAAAGAGGCGGCGTGAACACTCCCACCCCCACTGGGGCCCGAACATTTGCCTTTAGAGGCGCTCTTTGCGCTCTTGGGGCTTCTCCTGGGCCCCTCTTGGGGCCCTCTTGGGCCATCTTGGAGCCATCTTGAGGCCTCGCGAGCCTACCGGGAGCGAAGAGGCGAGCAAGCAATGCACATATTGGTAAACACGAGGGTTCTGAATCATTTGGAATTTTGGGAGGCTTTCGTGGGAGGCTCGGAGGGCAATTGGAGCTGTCCTGAGGCGGTATTGGGGGCTCTTGAGGGCAAGCAGAACCATCTTGCGCTATATTCAGCGATCTTGGAGGCATCTCTTTTTGGGACCCTCTTGGAGCGATCTTTATCAATCTTGGACGCTCCCACCCCTCGCGCCCCTCCAGACCCAAGGGGAGGGGGTAGCGGTAGGAGGAGCCCCCTCCCCGAAGCTTCCGAAGGAGAAAGAGGGGGTTAGCAGAACGAGATCGCTAGACCACTCACGCCTAGAGGGCTCGTGGGATTATGCTGTTTTAATAATTCTTCCGTCGGGCTCTCTGATGTTGTTCGACTTTGGGGTAACGGTCGTATTGTTGGCTTCATAGGAGATGTCAGAGATGGACAAGTTGTTTGACCGCTTCAACACCAGAGGTGGACTGATAGTCGGCTCAATACTCGGCTTGATCGTCCTCGTTGCGTGGAATCGGCTCCTTGAGTTTATCTTGCAGGACAGCATACAGTCAGGACTGGATCGATTGCCGTGTACCTTTGTCAGTCTATCTAGCTGCCTGCGGCAAACCCAGCCACCGTGGCTGGGCAACAGCCTAGCAGGAAGGAGGACAACTCTGCATTCCGACGAGAACTCTGCATTGGGGCGGGACGTGATCCCGACGTCATCGTCCGCGCGGTAGGGAGGAGGAGGAGGAGGAGGAGGAGGAGGAGGAAGAGGCGGAGGCGGAGGAGGATTATGATGATGGGGAGGCAGAAATAGAGACAGAGAAAGCGTATGATGATGCTGCTGCTGCTGCTGATGATGATGATGATGATGATGTTGATGCTGATGCAGATGATGAAGCCGATGCCGATGCTGATGCTGATGATGATGTTGATGCTGACGGTTACGATGACGGTGATGTTGATGATGTTGTTGATGATGATGTTGATGATGATACTGATCATGAAGTTGATGCTGCTGCTGATGATGATGACGATACTGATGATGCTGATGGTGCTGATGATGATGATGCTGACGGTGGTGCTGGTGCATATGCTGATGATGCTGACGATGATAATGATGATGATGATGATGATGATGATGATGATGATGATGCTGATGATGATGATGCTGCTGCTGATTATGATGATGCTGATGATGATGCTGACGATGATGATGATGATGATGCTGATGATGATGATGACGATGCTGATGATGATAATGATGCTGATGATGATGATGCTGCTGATGATGCTGCTGATGATGATGATGCTGATGATGCTGATGTTGATGATGATGCTGACGATGATGATGATGATGATGATGATGATGATGATGATGATGAGGATGAGGATGATGATGATGCTGATGATGCTGATGATGATGCTGAAAATGATGATGATGCATATGATGCTGATGATGCTGATGATACTGATGATGATGACGCTGCTGATGATGATGATTAAGATGATGACGATGCTGATGCTGATGATGATGATGATGATGCTGATGATGATGATGATGATGATGATTATGATGCTGATAATGCTGTTGATGATGATGCTGATGATGATGATGATGATGATGATGATGAGGATGAGGATGAGGATGAGGATGATGATGATGATGATGAGGATGATGATGATGACGATGATGATGATCAGGCTGAGGCTGAGGATGAGGATGAGGATGAGGATGATAATGATGATGCTGATGATGATGTTGATGATGCTGATGATGCTGGGGATGATGATGACGACGACGATGCTGCTGATGATGATGACGCTGCTGATTAGGATACTGATGCTGATGATGATGAGGATGATGAGGAGGAGGTGGAAGAGAAGGATGAGGAGGAGTAGGAGGAGGGAGAGGAGGAGGAGGAGGAGGAGGAGGAGGACGAGGAGGAGGAGGAGGAGGCTGATGATGATGCTGCTGATTGTGATGATGATGATGATGATGATGATGATGATGATGATGATGATGATGATGATGATGATGGTGATGGTGATGGTGATGGTGATGGTGATGGTGATGGTGATGCTGATGCTGATGCTGATGATGATGCTGATGATGATGATGATGATGATGAGGAGGAGGAGGAGGAGGAGGAGGTGGTGGAGAAGGAGGAAGAGGAGGAGGAGGGGATGGAGGAGGAGATAGGGAACTCGACAGATAATGAGGAGGCGGAGAAGGAGGAGAATGAAGGGTTAGCGGAGGAGAAGGAGGAGGAGGAGGAGGAGGAGGAGGAGGAGGAGGATGAGAAGGATGAGGATGAAGGGGAGGAAGAGGAGGAGGAGGAGGAGGAGGAGGAGGAGGAGGAGGCGAACATGAGGATGAGGAGGAGAAGGCTTCTTGGGGCCTTCTTGGGGCTTCCCGAGGGCCTCCTGGGAGCTGCATGGGGAGCTGCATGGCAGCTTCTTGGGGCCCTCTTGGCGGCCTCTTGGGGGCCTTGAGGCCTCATGGGCCGTGGAGTTATGCGATTCGTGGCCTGCCTGGCGCCTATGGGTGCCGCCTTTGGGACCTCTCTAAGCCGCGCTGGTGCCCTCTTGGAGCTGTTGACGGCTGCCTTGTGGGCCCTCTTGGGAGCCCTTAGTGTGATCGTTAGGTCCTCTCGGGCCGACTTCGGGCCCTCTTGGGGGCCTCTTGGGCTGTTTTGGAGCTATCTTGGAGGCCTCTTGCAGGCTTCTTGGGGTGTCTTGGGCGGTCGGGGACCCGAACCGCCAAGCACCTCAACATCTTTCAACCGCCTGAGGCAAGCCAGTGGTTTTGGCCTCGGGCTCTCCAGGAAGGCCTCTTGGAGACCCCTTCGGTCGGCTCGGGGGCTTCTTGATCTATCTTGAGGCTGTCTTGACAGCCTCTCGAGCCATCTTGGGCCATCTTGGCGTCATTTTGGCTGCTTTGAACGCCGTCCTGGAGGCCATAAGGCTCCCAAACAGCTTCAAGACAAAACAACAGGCCCCCAAGGCGGCTCGAGAGTTCTCCAAGAGGCCCTCCAGGAGAGCCCGAGGAGGCCCAAACCATTGATGTGGTTTAGGTTCTTGAATCATTTTGAGTTAGTGGTATGTTTTGGCTTCCGACCGCCCAAGGCAGCCCAAGAGGCCCCTCTCGGCCGTCTTGTTGCTCCCTTGGAACGCTTCAACGCCGTCTGGGGGCCATCTTGGGAGCCCCTTGAGCCATCTTTGGGTCCTATCGGGCTGACTTCGGGCCCGTTTGGGGGCCTCTTTGGTTATCTTGGTGCTATCTTGGAGGCCTTTTGGAGACCTCTTAGGCCGTCTTGTGCGGTCGGAAACCCGAACAAGCGAGAACCTCAAACTATGCCAAATACTTCAGGCACATATATGCTTTTGACCCCCTCCAGCTCTCCAGGACAGCCTCTTGGAGCTCTCTCTGGCCGTCTTGGGGGCCTCTTGGGCCGTCTTGAGGCCCTCTTGGGCTATCTTGAGCCGTCTTGAGGCTCTCTTGAGAGGCTCTTGAGCTGTTCAGGGCCATCTTGAGCCGTTTTGTTGTCGTCTTGGCTGTCTTGGAAGCGTTCTTTGAGCCCATCTTGGCCGTCTGGAGGCCGACAACACCGTCGGAGAGTAGTTTCAGAAGATTTTTTGTTTTTGTTTTCCGGGACGCGTGCCGACAGGTGGGGGGTCAGCCCGAACGCTTTATAAAGCCTCCCGGACAACAGACGGGCATTCTAACACGCCCATTCCGTGCAGGCACGGTGGTGGATTTCTTATGAATTTTGCGTAACCATGGCACAAGCGAAAGACTTTTGCACGTACCAACGCCATCGCATGGCAGGAGGGCCGATCATATTCTTCAGTTCGCCATGCGTACATCCGACGATGCTAACGTCTCTGGCTGCAGGCTTGTGTGTGTGCGCATGTAGTTGCGTATTGTTGTGCTGGTTCGTGACCGCATTTTCTTATATTGAGCAGCCATGCGCAAGAGGAGCAGCAATAGTAGTGCGAGCTAAGCGAGTTGAGTGATGTTTGATTGACATGATTTACATGCGCATATTCGCATGTGCGATCATGCGTACGTGCGTAGCCTCATGTGGGACTTCTGTTTAAGTTGTGGCTGGCCCCCTGACAAATCTTTGGCCTGGCTGCTGACGCCGAACCACAAGCGATCTTTTAGATCCAAACTTATTTTCCCACGCCAGAGCGCTCACCTTCTATGTGAATTGTCCGGGCTCTCTTCGAATGTGACTGATTATGTTCTCTCCTGATTCCTATGGATGGGTATTCAATCCAAGCTCATAATGGTAGATGTTTGAACCTGCGAGTTGTTTATCGATTGTGTGCTTGATGTCATGTGATGTCCTCCCGGCAAGATCATTCTTTCCCACATTCCTTCGAAAGGATTGTGGACAACTGCAACTACATTCGTCCTCCTGTTGGGGTGGACATTCACGGCTCACTATTTTGTTTTCCTCAGATAAGCCAGCCAATGTGTACCCATCGAATGTCTGTAGTGCCACAGTTGATGTTTGTTTATGCTTGGCCCTCCAGCGTCTCGGTGATGTTGCTTGTTGGGGATGCGCGCACTTGCCTGTATGCCGCCGCTGCACGAGTGCATGAAGACATCCATGTTGTATCGAGCTGCCCGCGGCAAAAAGTCCGCCTCTGTGCCAGCACAGTGTCGCGCAGAGCATTGCTAGGATGTGTCCACACTGGAACCACCGTGATTGGGGGTGGATCTGCGGGCTGCTTGGGAAGTCTCGGGGCTGTCTCGGGGAGCCTTGGGTCTGTCTTTATGGGGGCCTTGGGGCCATGTTGGGCCAGCCTGGAAGTCGTCTTGGCTGGTCTCTGGATCTCCTGGGGCTGCCTTGGGGGCCGCGGGGGCCCTCGAGGTCCTGGCGCTGATTGCTCCGGCGCGTTGCCTGTGGTGGTCACCCGTGGAGTCCCCCCCGTGCAGTTCTGGCCCTAGCTGACCTTGCGCATGGGCTGAGGTGGTTTTCACTGGTGACCCTGCCCACTCGGCTTCGTTGGCCCCGTGCTTCAGCTCTGGTGATTCGTGCTTCAGGTGCCCCCGAGCGTTAGATCCGTCGATTGCTGCCAGGGGCCTGCGCGCAGGGTCCCAGCCGCAATTTGTCTGATGGCAGTTGGTTTTGTTCTGCCCACTGTGGCCCGGTTTCGCTTGCACAGAACACGTCCCCACACAATGTTTTTCTCTTCTCGTTGGTCATGCGCATTGGTTTGACATATCATTGCTTGACTTCGCAGTACTTTAACCGGGTGGCCACCAAGTCTACGACGTATGCGCAGCAGTTGGCAGAGTATGAGCAGAAGGTCATGATCAGAAGGCCTGCCATTTTATTGCGCACCATGGTGCCGTGGTGGCAGCGGCGAGAACTTATCTGACAAGCAGTCGGCAAGACGGTTACCTCCGATCGGTCAGTCTTGGTTCCTGTCACCTCAATGTTATAATATCGTCGCATCTAGCGTTTGTCTACGTCTAACTCGGGCGTGAGTTCGCCCATCTCGTTGCCTGCTTTGCGGAGCTTTCCAGATACAGGCACACGTGTGTGTATGTGTGTATGTTCGTTCTGGATACATGTCGTTTGTCTGAGACCTCGTTCACAAGGCTGTGTGTGAATATGTTGCACAGCGGCCTGGTGAGAGCCAGCGACGGTGCGCCCAACACTTTGGAGATTGCCCGTGCACGCGCGGACAAGGGTGGCATGTTGCCCGGGTTCGGAGATCTATGCTCAGCCAGAAGCCAGCCACCATATTGCAGTCGGGCAGTAGCAGCGGTCTGCATTACGAACCCTTATCGAAGATGTGGTGAGAGCTTTGGCGCGCGCGCCAGTTTCGTGTAAGCGAGGACGCCCATGTACGTCGAATCACCGCCGCCCCCTGCCTTTCTGGATGTGCCGATGTGGCCAAACGTTGTCCCAAAGCTTGGTTAAGCTAATGGACTATGACTATGTGTTCCCTCTGGATAGAGTCGGGAAATGTTCGGGATGATAGAAACATATATTTACATGTATGCGTGTATGTACGCATGCATGCATGCATGTATGTAATGCGGTAGGCAAGTAGGTAGTTAGGTCGGTCGATATGTAGGTCGACAGGTAGGCATGCTTGCATGCATGCATGCATGCACGTATATGCATGCATGCATGCATGCATGCATGCATGCACGTATATACGGAAGAGCGCGTTCTGTGGTCGCTCGGAGGGGGGGGGTGTGGAACCGGACCCCCCCCCCCTGGATGGAGGGGGGGTTCGAACCCCCACACCCCTCCCGTGACGGAGGGGGGGGCAGGGTTTCGACCCCCCCCCCTCGTGACGGAGGGGGAGGGGGGGGGGTTTCGAACCCCCCCCCCTCCTTGCTTCCCCTCTCCTCGGGCCGGCGCTGCGCTTGGGTCGGCGGCGGCTGGCGACAGCGGCGGGGACGACGATTTCCATCTCTTGGCCGGCGCCGGCGCCTGCGGCGGCGGGCGGCGGTGGCGGGCAGCGTCGACGAGGACGGTGGTGGGTGGGGTGGTGGGTGGTGGG